AGCTTGTATGGCTTGAAACAAGCTCCACACCAGTGGTATAAAAAGTTAATTCTTTTATAGTAAGCCACAGCTATAACGAACAAGGCAGTGGATCTTTGTATGTATGTCAAAAAAATTTTTGATGGTAATTTCATTATTCTTTTAGTTTATGTTGATGATATGTTGATTATAGGACAAGATGTTGCTATGGTTTGCAGGTTAAAAGAATAGTTGTCTAAATCTTTTAGCATGAAGGATTTAGTTAAGCAAAGTAGATTTTTTATATGGATATTATCCGGGATAGGAAAGCTGAAAAGCTGTGATTATCACAAAAAAAGTACGTTGAACGGGCACTTAGTAGATTCAACATATAGCATGTTAAATCAGTTAGCAATCTACTTGTCAACCATTTTTATTTGAATAAGAAATCTCGTTCAATGACTAAGGAAGAACAACTAACTATGTCTATTATTTCTTATTCTTTTACAGTTGATTCTTTGATATATCTAATGATTTACACACAACTTGACATTACTCATACAATTGGTGTAATAAGTAGATTTTTTTTTTAATATGGGAAAAGTTTACTATGAAGCAGTGAAATGAATTTTCAGATATTTAAGGGGCACCTCAAAAATATACTTGAGTTATAAAGTTTCACAACTAATTCTAAAAAAATTTACTGATGCTGACATGACAGAAAATCTTGATGTTAAAAAATCCACTTTAGGGTATTTGTTCACTTTTATAAGAAAAGCTATGTCTTGGCAGTCTAAATTACAAAAGTATGATGCCTTGTCAACTATAGAGGCTAAGTATATTATAGCAATTGAAACATGTAATGAAATATTTTCTTCTTGAATTAGGGTTGAATTAAAAAGAGATGTAGTATTTTATGATAGCCAAAGTGCTTTAAATTTAAGTAAGAATGCCATGTACCATACTAGAATAAATCACATTGATGTTAGATATCATTGGCTACGTTCGGTGATTAAGAAACAGCAAATGCAGTTTAAAAAGTCCATATTGATGAGAATGCAGTAGATATATTGATTAAGACACTTTCAGAAAAAAGCTTGAGTTTTATAATAACTTGAACGGAAAGAGAAAATTGTTAGGAATGTGTAGGGTCTAGCCTTATTGTTTAGCCAATTAAAAGGCCCAAAGCTTTTTGTTTTTTACCTTAAGATAGCCTTACTTAATAAAAGAAAAGGGGGTTGTTTTTGGTGTAATAAAAAAAAAGGTGTGTGGCACTGAAATCATGAGGAAAAGAAAAGTCAAAAAATAGAGAAAATATGAAAAAGAGAGAGTTGGTTGACTAGAGGTTGATCCGTGATCCGATTGAGCTAAAATTTTATCAACAGGTTTATGATTCAATTTTTTACATTATGAATTATGAAAATTGGGTTTAAGCTCTCTAAGAATAAATCTATGGTGTATTTGTTGAGTTACCTATTTGGTGAGATTTTTTCAATTGTGTCTCTAGTTGTTGATTAGCTCTAGTTTTAGCTAGAGAATAACTTTGTATACCCATTATTTGATACTGGAGATTTTTTTAGTGTTCTGTGATTTTTTTTCCTCTATATTGGAGAGTTTTTTTACGTAAATTATGGTGTACTTTATTTTTTCTATGTTTTGGACTATTGATTGTTTTTATTGTTATGGGTTTATTGTGATATATTACTTTTGCGTTGTTGTATTTGTCGCTTCAAACCTAACAAAAGCTAGAACAGAACTGGAACAATGCAAAATTATGGCTTAGAGAATTTTATTTGTATTGTGGTTGGAACAGACTTTGGGGGAATTAATAAATAGAATATATATTGGTGAAGGAAAGAAAAAAGATGATTAGATGTTGGAGTTTGGTGTTTGTTTGAATTGGAATTTAATGATTGGAAGGCAAAGGATGAATGAATTTATAGATGGAAGGGTTTAGGTAAAGAGATGTGGAGAGGATCTCAAATTTAACTATGTTATTTTATGTAGTTACCTTTAAAAAATAATATCTAATAGATTTAAATTTTGAATTTTAATATCTACAATTTCTTTTTTATTTCCAAATTACAACCCCCTTTTATAAAAAAATGCAAGGTCAATAAACAAGTAGATTTGATGTTGGTTTTAAAGCTCAATTTGTGTGAAACAAGAAGATTATTTTGAATCGTTAATTTTTTCGATACAATGCTTAATGATGTCAAAGTTACTAACGGTCCATTTGGATGCCAATTTTATGGTGAGATTTGAACTCTTTTTTGAGTTCAAATGTATAATGATGATTTTTTAATTTTACTAAAAATATCGAGTGATGCAATCATGCCTCATATTTTCATTGAAATATTTATGTCCAGTGAGATTTTATATTTTCACCTGACTTCCTTTTTAAATTTTGACATGACTTTTTTTTTGTTTTTACCCTTAAAAATATCATGGTATTTTTAAAAATATTAAAATAAGTTTATTAATTTAATATAATAAATAAATTTTATTATATAATAATAACTAAATAATATATATTAACATTTTGATTGAGAATAGAGTTTTAAGTTGGGAAATATGAATTCTCGAAAGTTCATTTTAAGTTATTTGATTACATTCTCATGTGAAGTTGTATCTTGGCAATCCATACTACACAAATGTGTTGCACTTTTTTCAATAGAGATAGAGTATGTTACAGCCACTGAAGCTTGTAAGGAGTTGTTATGAATGAAAAGTTCATGCAAGAGTTCAGTTTCAAGTAGCAACATTATGTGATATTTTGTTACAATCAAAGTTTAATTCACTTTGGTAAGAATTTTATTTTTCATTCAAGATCAAAGCACATAGATGTGAGATATCATTAGTTAAGAGTGCTTTTATTGACAGTTTTTTTGAACTTGAGAAGATTCATACCAATCACAAATGGCTCTAATATTTGACAAAGATACTACTAAATGAGAAGCTTGAAGTTTGTCGTTCAATCGTCAAGATGGCTATTCCTTAGTAAAAAAGATAGAGATTTATTGGGTATGGGTTTCCTTAATGTGGAGATGGTCTATATCCCTCATATACATTAAGGACTTTATTGTTCTTTCACTTCTTTATGTTATTTTATATGGTTTTAAACCCTTGTGCTTTATTTAGGAGCTGTTTCCTACGGTTGGCTTTTGGCAATACAAAAGTCAACTAGTAATATGAGTTGGTAGTAGTGTGAGAGAAAAAGAATATAAGAAAGAAAGTTTATGCAATTTTGATCAAGTAGTTTTATCGAGGTCATTCTATAATCCAATTAAGTTAAAATTTTATCAACGTGTTCATAATTTCATTATTCTTTAGTCTTAACAGTGGAGATCGGTTTCGAGTTTTTTGTCTACTGATTTCATGAGTAAAATCCCTACATTTGGTGAGATTTCTAATTTTCTCTTGCAAAGTTATTTCTTTGTCAAGATTGTTTAATTTTGAGATATTATAATTGTACACTTCTAATTCTATGTTGAACGAATTATGTATTCCCATTATTTTCATAATAGAGATTATCTATTGTTGCCGTGATTTGTACTTTTCGCATGTGAAGGTTTTCCATCTATGTGTTAGTGATTTAGTGATTTATTTGTTATTTTTATTTGTTTGATTCTTATTAGATTCACACAAGAGATAAATAATTTAATTTTTTATTATGTAACATATTTGATTTGAATATTATTTGAAGTTGTTTTATCCCATTTTAAACCAAAAGTCATTACCTTGGTTTTGATGCTTCTTGCAAGTAAAAGTGAAATATTTGTTGAAGCCTAAAAGCTGACCACTTTCATATCCTTCATTTCTTTCATACTTCGACGAAGCCAACATCCACTACCAGCAGTTCTGTCGATTCTTGATTTACTTTTCTTTTTCAACTTGGTAAAATCCTAAAAATTTTTCTTTTCATATTTGTCGAAATTATTTCAGGGCTCCTTGTTTTTCCCATAAATCTCAATCTCAATCAAAGCATTAGAACACAAGGGCTCCCATTGATGGCCGATCAAAGGTAGAAGCAGAAAAGCTCAATCAAAGCTAATGTTATAACTTAAAAGTTAAAAACTGAAATCAAGAATCACGTTAAATCATGTCATATCATGCTAGTAGGCAATTAAGTCATCTTCATATATTATTGTTCATTTCTATTATTTGTTATTCAAAAAGTCAATTATTTAAATTAAATTAATATTATGTTTAAGTAATTTTGATATTTTAAAAAATTTTTAAAGTTTAAAGATTAGATTTTTACGCCAATTGAGTAATCAATACTGATAATATTCTTTTTGCATACTATTTAGTGATAACTTTGATGGTGAATTTTCTTGAAAATATTTAATTATATGTGCTCATTTTCAATTTATTATTAATTAATACGATTGTATGAAATGTTAATATGAATCTCTAATAAAAATTAACAGATAATGCATAAAAAATCATAAATAAATATTAAACATCAGTCAATAAAAAATTATTAATAAATTTTTTATCAAAATAAATTTAATTTTATATTTAACATAACATAATTTCATATTATTAACAAATATAAATAATGAAAATATAAATTCTAATGATTCTAAGATCAAATCCAAAAAATTTAAATTTAAAATGTTCTGAACTCAAAATAATTTAAAAATTTTTTTATCCGAATTCAAAATAGTATGATTTTTTCTTAACCAAGATAAACCGACTCGAAATAGCTCAATTCCACTCGAAATGACCCAGCCGTTTGTCACCTCGATTTTCTTCACTGTATCCGAACAGGAACGATTAGATTGACCATATAAAAAGGTGTTTGCTCGTTTGCTAGAATTATCTGTATCTTAGTTTGAGGGGCGACTTATAACTGCAATCAATGGCCAAAAATAATTGTGTATCAAGTGTCAAATACTACTATTTAATCCTTGTCATGGTGTTAAATTTGTGGTATTAGGTTACCTGACTTCGTCTGTTGATTGAATCCAAAGGTCATTTTCAATTCTAACATCATTCCAAGATTTATAAAGCTTACCTCAGATTGTATGTTTTAGTTTACCAATAAGCCTTAATTCGAGAGTTTCTTCTTACCAATAATCCAAAGAGTCATTTCTATATAAATCACTCCCCTTTCCTATACATTAGAATCCAACTCAAACTACAGAATCTACTACTTTAGCAGGTATCTTTTCTATCTTAGTCAAATGGCTTCAAGGAAGATCAACCTGCAGGGTCTAGTCATGGTCTTGGTAACCATGCTTTGGGCGAGAACCATGGCTCAATCATCAGATTGTACCAGTGTGCTAATCACCATGGCTCCATGCCTTAATTATGTGACTGGAAGCTCCCCCACTCCATCTGCTTCATGCTGCTCACAGCTTGCTAATATTGTTCAATCACAGCCGCGGTGCCTTTGCATGGCTCTCAATGGCGGGGGTGCATCACTGGGTGTGTCAATTAACCAGACACTTGCTCTTGCACTCCCTGCTCTTTGCAGTGTCAAAACTCCACCTGTTAGCGGGTGCAATGGTAAAAAGCAAAAAATGTTAACTTTTAATACAACATCTCATATTTGAGCTATATAATTTAGAGTTTGATGCTTTAATTTTTGGCTAGCCGCTGATGGACCTGCAACTGCAATATCTCCTTCAGGCTCTCCAGCCGCTTCTCCTCAAAATTTACCAGGTGGTTCAGAAGACACACCAAGCAGCTCATCAACACCAGGTACATGTTATTAAATGAGCAAATACACTCTTTTCTCATTTGGTTCAAGCCTGTTAACGTATTGATCGTTCAGCTCAGCTTATTAAACTCTAGAATTCTGAGTTCAAATCTTGTGTACTCTGATAAAATTAGTTCTAGGCTTCTCCCTGGCTCGCTCCTAATATCATGGGTCAACTTTTCCAATCGAAAAAACATACTTATTAAGTGGAGAAAGAACCATGTTTTATTAGCTGAAGACCACCCCTTTTCTTACCGTGGGATTCATAATATTCTCTTTCTCTCCGACTAAATTATGCAACACTCTCGTTGCTTTGACTCTTTCACTCGCAAAAGAGGGATCCACCTTAATTCAGACCTACATCAGTGAAAAATTAAGTCTTCTCTGATACCATTTGTAATGGATCCACGTTTTCAACCCAATTTTTATTAGATGAAGGAAAACCCATGATATATAAGTCCAAAATCGCTCCCTTCGCTTATCAAATAAGATCAGTGACACTAGCACATGGAGACCGTACTTGAACCACCCGCAAAGCCAACAAACGTGAGCGTGTTCGGCTAGTTGGATCCTTCCCCATCAACTCGAAATTTTAGACCATGCCTTTTACTAAAGAAAAAAATTACAAAGATTGCATTCACTTTTGCAGCTAACTTAATACTTTACCTTAAAAAATACTTCCTTGGAAGCACAAAATGTGTGACTTACAAAACAGAAAAAATAGAAAATTGAGTTGGAGTTGTGACGCATGCAAGAGCTTAGAACCACGCAAGAAATTATCCATAATTGTTGGTTTCAAAATTTACTAGTCTGAGAAAAAGTTGAAAGAAATTTTGACTTCCACATGGGAGTTTTTTTCTCATAAAAGCAAACTACATAATCACGGTCTATTTGGAAATAAGGTCCTGTTCAACTTTCACCTTCACTAGAATTTCATTAGCATTTTTACACAGAAAAAGTAGTAGTTGCGTGCATCAAAGTGGTTCAATCATCTTCCTATTCAAAGTTTGGTTAATTTAAGTATGTCTAAAATGATAATCTCATCAATTTGTTTCCTGTTAGATGTTTAGCACCAAACAACAGTGCTATCTTTCGACCACCCCAAAACTATCATATCAACAATTTCTTGCCTTTAGGCAATGCATGCACTTAGCTGCCTTGAAAATGAATGTACACAAGATTTTTATTCAATGGAGTTGATTAATTTTGAATTAAATTATTTAAATTAAATTAAATTATTTTATTTTCAGTAATTGAATTGAAATTATTAATTTTAAAAATTAAACGATTAAATTGAATTTGATCGATTTAGTTAATTTTTTGTTAATCAAATAATAAAATTGTGTTATACAAATGTTAACCAAAAATGAAGTATTTCAATTAATTGAATTTTGTGCCTCATGAAATGAAATGACGCATTTAATTGTAGGTATGTTTTGGTTAGTTATTCAGTTAATTTAATTTTTAATCAAATTAACTAAAAATTGAAATTTATCTAAAATTATTTTTGAAAACAAACCGAAATTTAATCGATAGCCGATCAATTAACTAAATTAAATTGATTCAATTAATTCAGTTAAAATCAAATTTTAAATATCCCTGCACAACTGTTCTCATTATAAATGACTGGCCATAATTTAGAATATTAATAAAAAAGAAAGTCAAGGTAATTCTTAAAAAGACAGTGTTATATACGTTAATAAACTCAAATAAGTATTGCATTCAATCACGTCTATTTATTTTTTTTTACTTTAAGTGAAATATACTAATTTTTTATGGGTTATAATAGAATTTTGAAAACTTATATTTAATGTAAGTTTATGAAATGTGTGTATTAAATAAATGTATATAGCATTCTCTTTCTTTAAATGATACTTTTCGAATTGAGAATGGTGTAATCCCACAAAAACACATTATATTCTTGATTGAATGGCCGTGCATGCAGGTGGATCAAAAACAGTTCCAGCTACTTCCAATGGTGTTATCATGGAAATGCCTGTTAAGCTCATCCTGTTCTTTCTGCCCATGGCTTTCTATGCTTCAACTTAATAACACCAATTTCTAAGGCTCCTCAAATGGAATATCTTCGTGCTTCTATTACCATTTAAGATCCTATCTACTCGTGTTTTATTCAGCATTGTGTTGTTTTAACAAAATAATTGTGTGCTTTGCTTTAATTATCTGTTATACGAATCGTGTATGGTTTGCCAAGTTCATGAATAAAGCTTTATCAATTCCGAAGTGTTTATGGTTTGGGAAGTTCAACTGTTAATTCCCTTCATGCTTCAACTGTTATGTTTTTGAATGATAAAAGAACTTATGTCTAATTATCTCTACATTTTGAATAAATAAATGTCTTTGATTCTTTGAAACAAATTATCAAAAGATGTGTCATATATATAGACCTTGAATTTTTTTTTCCAAATTTGGCAATTTAATAAATTTTCAACGCAATTATTTAATAATTTCAAATACAATACAATAATACAAAAAAAATTAATATGAAAATATGCACAACAATGATGCAGTTTAAAATTTTAGAAAAAAAATAAAAAAAGCGTGTTTTGTATTCATATCAACATAATTTGTGACTTGATAATTTTTATATTTTACATATATTAAACATAAAATAAATAGATAAAAATACATGAATTATAATATTTTGAGACAAATATTTCTATTCTTATAAGAGTTAAAATTATATTGGGGTTGCAAAAGTTATTACTTACACTATTCAGTTATATTATAACATTATATAATTTCAAAAAGTTTGTTTTTTAGTGGTCAAATTATGTCAAAGTTCTTGTATTATGTGAAAATTTATAATTTAGTTCATATACTATAATTCATACAAATTCAACTCTCATACTATTTTGATTTAATAATTTTAGTCCAATCACTAAATTCATTAATTTTTTGCCATTAAAAATGCTGACATGGCCATTAACTTGATGATATAGATGTTGATTTTGCTTACGTGGCATTAACTTTACTAATGTGACAATTTAAATAAATGAAATCAATTGTTAAATTGCGCAAATGAGCCTTGTACTCACAAAATTAAAATTTAGTATCTCTAGTATAAATTATTAAAAATTATGTCTTCGTACGAGTTGAATTTAATAATATTGATCCAATTAATAATAAAAACAATATTTTTTTTACTTTTTAACTTTTTAAAATAATCAATATTTCAAAATTTTTAGATTTTTTTTCCATATTTTTAAATATCAAATTTAATATTTTAAAAATATTTTAATTTTAAAAAATTTATATTTTTATTTTTTAATAAGATATTGTTTTTTAAAACTTAATGTTTTCAAAAATTTTAAAGATTTTTTGGATTTTTAAAAATTTGAAATTTACATTTTTAATATTTTAATTTTAAAAAAATAATTTTTGATATTTTTTATTTTTTGAAATTTTAACATTTTATTTAATCAAAATATCTAATTTTTGTTTTTTAATCTTTTGAATTTTATAAAATTTTCAATTTCTTTAAATTTTATGTCTTTTGAAATTTTCTATATTTTTAATATTTAAATGAATAAATAAATTATATAGAAGACACGAGTCTTTAGAATTTATTTTGTTTTGATATATTTGAGGTGAAAAAGTATAAAAATTTAGGGTAAAACAAAATAATAACGAAACACAAAGTGCTTCTAATTCCGATTTATTCTTCACTAGATAACATAAAACGTGTAAAGAAATTTTAAAATTTATAAACTCTTTTTAAAAACAAAAAAGAAGTATAAAAAATTTATAAAAACATAAAATTAAAAAATATAAAAATTTTATAAAAAAATCTAAAAATTAAAAATTATTAAAATTAAATATTTTGTTTAAATAAAATGTTAAAATTTGAAAAAAAAATACAAAAACTTTCAAAATGAAATTAAAATTTTAAATTTTTAAATTTAAAATTTAAAATTTAAAATTTTAAAAAATCTAGAAAATTTCAAAAAAAATTCAAAATATTGAATTTGAAAAAATGAAATCAAATTTTACAAAATTCAAAAAAATGATTTTTTAAAAAATTAAAATATTTTTAAAATATTAAATTTAAGATTTTAAAAATATGAAAAATTCTAAAATTTTCAAAATATTAATTTTTATTAAAAAATAAATTTTGATTTTTTAAAAAGTAAACAAAATTTATGATTTTTATTAGTATTTAGATAAACATTATAAAATTTAACTTATACAAGGACAAGATTTTTATAAAATTAAAATGATTAAATTTTTTTCAAATTTCATGTGAATACAAAAATTATTTACATAATTTGACAATTAATTTCATCCATTTAAATTATCAATAGTCACGATGGCATTTTCAACCGTCAAAAGTTGAAGAAGTTAGTTATTAAACTAAAATTATTAAATAAAATAGTTTGAGAATTAAAATTTTATGAATTACAATACAAAAACTTAATTCTAAATTTTTATAGAGTATAGAGCTCTCTTGAATAATTTAACCTGTTTTAGTTGTCAGCTGAACCACACTTGATTATTTTACTTCTAGTTAAAAGTCTTGCATCACTCTGACAATTACTATAGCCATATCTTCATCATCTGTTCTCTATAAAATTTTTAATTAATTCCCTCTAGTCAAGTAAGTAAGTATAAGGGTAGAAGAATTCAGAGGTAGATTAAAAATTTTAAGAAATATTTTTTTTATGAAATTATAAATACAAGTTATAATCATAATAAAATATTATATTTATATATAAAAAATTATTGAATAATAAAATAAATAAATCTATCAACAAACTAGAACATAACTAAAAAATTTTAACATAAAAATGAACCAAACTTAGACATAATTAAATTAAAGACCTCAGGATTCTAAAACCTCATCCTTACTATTAAGACAAGGCCATCCATCTTGAACACACATCTTGAATCTATGCTTATCCCTTTTTCACATTACAAATCCACCCACTAAATGCTTTGATAAAATAAGGAAATAACCAATAATTATGGATTGCAAAGCCATATTCAAGTCTCTATTTAAACCAATATAGGATTTGACCGACTGAAATTTGAATAAATTGGTATGATATTGGAGCTATTGCTTGAAGGTTAAGGATTTGAATAAATTTATACATATAATATTCTCTTTAGTCGGATAAGTATAAGGTAGAGAGGTTTAAAGAATAGATTAAAATTAAAAAAAAAAAAAAAAAGGTTTGAAGCAACAATTATCTGTGAATTCTTGTTTTCGTAAATGGAACAGAATCTTGATTACTAACTAACTATTAGAAATTTCATTTGAACGACATATTCCTATAATAAGTTTCAAAGAAGTTAATGGGTTTCTTCAATTTTAAAATGCTAAAATACTAAAAAAGCTATTGAATTTTATTACTTTATTTAGATAAATCCTTATATTTTTATTATACTTAAATAAGTCCTTATTTTTTAAATTGTATCTAAGTAAACCCTTATTTCTAACAAAAAATTGATTTATGTTAAAAGCATATTTAGGTGCAAATTAAAGGTTAAAAGCTTATTTGGGTGTAATAAAAATAATTTATCTAATAAAGTGATAGAGTTTAAAGGGTTTTTTTTTTTTAATTATTTTAGCCATTTGAAAACGTGGATATCCATATGCTAAATTTTAACTCAAAAAATCAAAATGGTTCTCCTTTTTTGTCATATGGACATCCATATGAACGTACATATAGCATTAAAGTGATTGATGAAATGGATGAATTTAAAATACTTTTAAAAGATTATGAATGAAAAATTGAATTTAAAAAATTGTGGATGAAAATAAAATATTGTATAAAAATCATAGATATATGGTTAGATTTACTAAAAAAAATATATATAATTTTTTAAAGAAAAGGAAAGGTGGAATTCCACCAAAGGTGAGGTGGAGGTGAGTTGGAGCTACAGCAAGGAGAGCACAGCCATGGGCATCATGGGATGCACTCCAACATTCAAGTTTGTTAGATGAAGGAGGCTAGACTAAAGGAAGAAGATGAAGGTAGCAGAGACTAAGGAAGGAAGCATAGGAAAAAAGGTTCATAAGTGTGTAACTGAATCTCCTTTTACGTTATATATGGCACATGTGTGGCAATGTGACATGAACACTTGATAATTGATGTAGAATCCACATGGAGATGATGGGAGTCCACATGGGTTATGGGTTGTAAACATTTAATGACCCAATCTAGGTAGTTTATCGCGAGATGATCGGCTAACGGGACTTTCGTGTACATAGTCAGGCTAGCAATTCCAAACAAGCGAGTAGCACATATAGGCGAGTTGCTGTGGTAGGCGAACAGCCCGCGTGTCGACCACTAATTAGAGGTGTTAAATGGGTCGTGCTGGGTTGGCATGGCCCATTAAAAAATTAACCCATGTGTGAATAGGTTGTATTGGCATAGCAATATTATTTAATGTGTCTTGCCAGCACAATTCATGAAAACTAACACTATGGCCCGTTACAACACATGGTCCATAGACGCTATAGACGCTATGGGTCATGCCGTGCCACGGCACTATTCTTCATACTATATTGGACCAAGTTTATTAATAGATGTTTTAAGAATTTTTTTCAACAATTTTACAAATTAATATATAAAATTAATACGTGAGACACATAATTCATATGGTTCCATAAAATAGTTATGTTTATCAATAAAGATTAAAAGAACCCATGCCTCCAAAATAATATGTGAAAATTAACAAATATTAATATTACATTTTTAAATTTAAAAAAAAAAAAAGGACATCACATTATTATTTTATTTTTATTTTCACCATACGATTATTCATTTATATCATGTGTTTCGTTTTATTCTTGATTTTTCATAACTAATTATAAATATCTCATTTTGTTTAGGAACTTTTTTTCAGGATTGAAAATAGGCTTTCAATAGTAAATTGAGCCCGATTAGGAAACTTTGGGCCCAATAGGAAAAATCTGCATTTTAGTTTTAATTTGATTTAATTTTTGTTTTATTTATTTAGTTATTATTAATATTTTAAAAAAAAGGGATTAACAAAAAGGAAAGAAAATTAGAAAATTTTGAAAT